AAGCATTGGATGCCATAAATCCATGACCTTATATTTGGCATAGAGAATATTAACCTACTGTAAATCCATTTCTTCAGAAACTCCAATGGGGGTTTTATGCATCAGTCTGAACTCCTTAAAGAAATGTCAAGGCACAAATGAAACTTGTGATAAATTATAAATATGTTGCTCATTTACATTGTTAGAACATGCTTAAGTGTAAAATAGCCATAACAGTACATAAATTTTGTTTGGTTAACCCAAGTGCAATAAATCCCAGATTAATGAAGGAATGGCTGGAATTTTAAAAATATTTTTATCTGAGATACTCTAAAGAAGTATTTTTCCCATCTGTGGTTTGAAGGACCTTCTTTATATGTTATTGCTATGAAATATGGAAGTTCAGGTGTGAACAAGCTTCAGAACATTGTGAATTTTATCAGTATACAGATTAGTGCTTTTAGGAACATTTTGCTTGAAAAGATAGCTCTAAATGTCCTTTGATGTCATTTTAAGACTGATTTATACAGTATACTATTTATTTGTGGATTTTCATTTTTGAGCATATTTACATTGCTAACAGTTTTCTGTGATGCTTTTGTTATGAAAGGGAATTTTAATGAAGCAAAGAAAATAGAATTTATGATTCTTGTCACTTTGAAGGAATCCTTTCTGAAATACTAAATTGTCTAAGATGCTATTTTAGAAATAGAATGGATAAAGCAGTATTATTGTGAATCTGTTTACACTTTTGTAGTCGAATTTGTTAACTTCAGATATCGAGTGATTTTGATAACTCCTGGACACTTATAATTGGAAGTGATTTTCAGGTGCTTCTGGTCTGTAACCTTGTTAGTCCGGTGTATTTAGTATGAAAATCAACCAGTCTTTTTCAATGCTTTACTTTCTTTCAAAATTTTTATAAAACTGCGGTCAATTTTTGTATCTTTCAATGCAGATATCAGTACTGTTTAATTTGAAAGGGAAAAAAAATAACACACGGGGATGATGTAACACATTATTTGTATGGGCTTAATGCATTAAATATGATTTGCAAATCAAACACACAATATTGTTGAACAGAAAAGGCAAATTCTATGCATATCATATTCTTTTTTCTTCTCTCTCTCATCTTTTGGACCCACTTCTGCTATTGTTTGATATCTTGCAGTATCACCCTTTTCTCATATCTTCTCTTCTTGTCTTGTCTTTGGGAAATGTCTTAATGCCTCTCCAGTAGTAGTGCAAGAAGGATGGGAAGAATGAAAACAATGTTGCTTTTTAGTTTTTTCTAACTAAAACTAAAAAACTAAAATTTTACTTTAGTTTGTGTACAAGAGGTTGTCCCTGTTGTTTCAGAAGCATATCAACCCAGTTTTGTCTTCCTGGTATGATTGATGTGAATCATGAGCCATGGTGGCACAGTGGTTAGAATGCAATATTGCAGGCTAATTCTGCTGACTGCCAGCAGTTCAATTTTCACCAGCTCAAGGTTAACTCAGCCTTCCATCCTTCCGAAGTTGGTAAAATGAGGAACCAGATTGTTTGGGGCAATATGCTCACTCTGTAAACTGTTTGGAGAGGGCAGTAAAGCACTGTGAAGTGGTATATAAGTCTAAGTGCTATTGCTACTGCTATCATTACAGGCAAAGAGGAAACCACTACAGGATGTACTTCTTCTAAGAGTAAACTAAACACCTACTTACCTTTGAAGAAGTTTCACTATGCTTGTGTGTATCTGTATGGGTGTATATACAACAAAGCTGTTAGCATTGCATTTGTCTACTTTCAGTTTGTTTGGGCTTAAGGAATACAATACAAGAACCTTCTTAATTTTCTTTGAATGGTTAAGTAAAAGCTAATACTGGCATTGTGTTCGTTATTTTTTAATTATCACAATATGGTATACAATATATTTATCAAAATAAATGCAAAGTCAATCTATGATGGTTTGGAGCTTTAACAGATTGGAATAGTCCTTGTTTTCCCTTGTGTATTAGTTCTTATGAAATTTGATTTTCTTTGACTCAAAACTAGAACTATTGTCTGTGGTCTCATTCCGGTCCCAATACAGGATGGAAGAAGAGGTTGAGAGGAGAAAGAATTTGCTAAGAAAATTAAAATAAAACAATTGGAAGAAGTTATTTAGTATAAAATTCCAAATTAAAGCATCCACAGAAAAGGTGTGCCAGCTTCTGCTTGAAGTTATTTCCTGCATAGAATGTTATAATTTTCTTTGGTAATTGATTCTGCTGTTTAGCTGTTCCTATTCATAAAACGTTTTTCCATCATTGAACTAAAAACTGCTTTCTTGTCATTTAAGACTATTTAAAAACTGCCTTCTTGTAATTTTAAGACTGTTTTCCATGTCTCTACTTGGGGATAATAAAGAGTAAGTTGAGGTTTTCTCTAGTACCCCTCAAAGGTACATGAAAAGTGCCATCATATTTTCACTTGGTTTTTTTCTTCTTAGGGATAAACATTTCCAGTTTCCTCATTCTGTTTCAATTTTTATTCCTCTTTACTTTGATTTCCCTCTTCCAATCTGCGGAATCCTTTTTAGAGTATGTAGCCAGAACTGGACACAGCACTAGAAGCAGAATCTGACAGAGTAGAATAGAATAAAGTTATTACGGGTAGTCCTCGACTTACAACTGTTCATTTAGTGTCCGTTCAAAATTACAACACTGAAAAAAGCGACTTAAGATTTTTTCACACTTATGACCGTTGCAGCATCCCCATGGTCACATGATCAAAATTCAGAGATTTGGCAACTGACTCATATTTATGACGGTTGCAGTGTCCTGGGGTCATTGTGATCCCCTTTTCTGACAAGCAGTGTCAGTAAGAAAGCCAGATTCATTAAAGAACCGTGTTCCGAGCTTAACAACTACAGTGTTTCACTT